GTTTTTTGAGATATCGTCGATTTTTTGAAAAAATTGTTTATAACAATGGCATAAATAAATGATTTGGTATTTTATTATTTACATTTTAAAAGTGAAACTCTTTCTGCGTCTTTTAAAAAAAGAATCATGTCCATATCTTTATTAGTCTCCGAGAAACCGAATTAATAAAAAAAGTCCAATATTTTTTCAACAGTTGATAAGTCGGCCCCTTATCAATATTTTGATCTAAAACTCTGCACAGATGTTGACCTCTGTATAGGTAATAAGTCTACCAACTTTGAACAAAATTGGTGATTTAAAGTTTTAAACTGTTTGAAATAGCCAAGAATTGCCCTATATAGTTAAGGACGTTTCCCTGTTTCTTTTTTCTGCGTGAAGTAACCTATATTACCGACGGTTTCTTGAAACTTGGCAACGTCGCGCTTGAGCACACCATGTAAATAAACAGTGGTATTCGCATATGTTCTCGGTATTTATTATGAACGAGCAATGAGTGACCGTAAAAGATATCACTGGAAAGGAAAATATGTGTCGAAAAAAGTTTATCAACATATGTTACGTCGATCAGAAAATGGTATTAAAAACAAAGGAAAATTTGTTGCTCTCGAAGCTGCTTCAACTAAAGAAGAGACCAAAACTGAGGAGGCTGACATAACCTCAAATTATCCTGTCCAAGGAGCGCGCGTTGTTGACTTGAAATATATGTCTAAACAGATGTACTGTGATGGATGCAATCAAAGATTATTTACTTAAAATATTGTTGATGAAACGATTCATGGTCTTGGTTCATATTTTTACTGCAAGTGTAGCAGGTGTCCCGAAATTACCAAAGTCCGCAGCGGACCTATGACAAACATTCTTGGTAGCAGCAAGAAAGTTTTTGAAATCAATGCAAAGTTGCCTATAGGTACACACAACTATTATTTTTCAGTTTATTTAATGAGAGTGTACGTTCAATAAGTAATTAATAAATAATATTACTATTTACAGGAGCAATGCGTGCAGGTATTGGACATCGTCAAGTCGATACCTTTCTAAGTACTTTTGAAATACCTCTTTTATCAAAAAATGCCTACAAAAACCAAGAGAGATTAGTGGGTCCATTTCTTGAAGATGTGGCGAAAACGAGCTGCCAGTATGCCATTGAATTAGAACGAGCATTAACACTTGAAAATTTAGACAAACTTAAAGCCATGTTGTAAGTTTTCTCACACAACAATCCTAAACAAAACATTCTTCAAATTTACTGTTTAACACACGTGTTTCTAATGATTTTTTAAATCAGGTTTCAATTGATGACGCTATATATAAGTATAATCATGTAGAAAATTAGATTTTTTAACTTATTTTAGTATAAAAATATTTTGAATGAAATTTTAGTTTATTACTATTTTAATCAGTAGGTTAAGCATTATTTTTTATCTATACTTGTAATCATGCAAATAATAAAATTTTTTATATTATATTTTAAGTTAGATAATCGTTTTAAGTAGAAAGTAATCAATTGAAAAATGTATTTTTTTTGTAAAAAATATACATATAAATATATACACATTTATACACTAATACAATATTTGTTATTATTAATATATTCTCTCAAAAAAGTCATGAACTTGTAAGTATAAAAAATAACATGTCACTCTCTTTTCCTTTCCATACAGACCTCCTGATGCTCCAGATGATTTCTTAGTTTATACCAAAATAATAAATGTTGAAGAGGTTGAATTTGTAAGACTGTTTGTTTCTTTTGATTTTGGCTGGAGCCAGCGTTCTAACGGGTATAATTATGACAGTTTGAATGGGTATGGATGTCTGATAGTAATGCTTAGTGGTATGGTTTTGGATTACGTATCATTCAATAGGAAATGTCGTCAGTGTGACAGCAATGAAAAAAATGGTACTGATAAAGAGCATGATTGTCGTTTAAACTTTCATGGTAGCGCTAAGTCTGTGGAAGCGGAGGGTGCTCGCAAGCTTGTCATTGAAAGTAAACTTTTACAAGCTGCCAATGTTGAGATTGGCATTTTTACCGCAGACAATGACAGCAGCAGTTTTAGTACTATACAAAAGGAAGCTACTCACATGATTATTAGGCAGTCAGATATGAACCATAGTACAAAAGGAGTTAAGAACGCTCTTTTTAATATTAATTCAAAAGTAAACCAAGATCCAGATGGAGAACTTCAACAGGATACTATAAATTCTTTGAAGAGATATTTTAGTTATGCAGTAAAGTAAAATGTTGGCGATTTAGAGAAAATGAGAGCTGCAATTCAAAATATTCCAGACCATGCTTTTGATCGCCACGATAACTGTGGATCTTGGTGTAAAGCCAAAGAAGACAAAGAAAATTATGTAGGTTTACAAATGAAAAATGCAGTATTATATGAACAGCTGAAAGTATTATTTGATAAGCTAGCTGCAAATGCTACAAAATTTTTAATGGCGGCTTCTTCACAAGCTAACGAGAGCTTAAATAATTCAATGTGTAGCAAAGCTCCTAAAAGAATATGTTACAGCACGAGCGAATCGTGCGACTACAGATTTGCTTGTACAGTTGTTCAAAAAAATTATGGGGAAGCTTACATAAATAGTATTTTTCATGCTTTAGGGTTGGAAACGACAGGACGACTTGCAGAGCGCATCCAACGTACAAACAACTGTGCTTCAAAACGTAAGGCTAGAGAATCAAGTATTGATGGAAAAAAGAAACGCATAATGCGTACACAGTTGCGTTCTCAATTAAAATATCGCACTGATAAAAAAGAAGAAACATCATATAGTAGTGATATGTCTCTTTTTGATATCATTAATTCTACAACTCCACAAGGTTGCACAAATAATGAAAACTTAGTTCAAGAAAATGCCAATGAAAAGTCGAATGAATCAGATAGCTCCAATATTATTAATAGCAATGATACGAAAATAGTTTTTTTTGATTTGGAAACTGCAGGATTCGATATGTTCATAGATGACGTACTACAAATCTGCTTAAAATGTGATGAACAATCATACAGTTCTTATATCACACCAACGCGACCAATTAATCCGAAATCATCGGAAGTTCATAAACTGACACAGATTAATAAAAACTTATATAAAAATGGCGAGCAAGTTGTAACAAACACCAAAGCATTTGTTGTATCTAGTGTATTAGAATTTTTAAAAAGCTTAGGTAAAAAATGTATTTTAGTTGCTCACAACTGTGATTTTGATTCTAAGCGATTAGTTATTTTGGTGAAAAGTTGTGGTTTATTGAAAGATTTTCAAAGTATTATTGTAGGATTCACTGACACTCTGCCATTATTCAGAAAAAAGATCATCGATGTAGATAATCACAAATTAACAACATTAGCAGCATGCAAATTGAATGTTTCTTGCTCAGAAGCTCATGATGTTATGTTTGATGTCCATATTTTAGAAAAACTAGCAAACAATTTTCTAAACGTGAGTGATTTACTAGCAATAAGTGGAACATTTGATAGTATCTGCATCTATCTCGATAAAAAAGAGCGTAGTCGAAGTAACATAAATTCCTTTATACCTTTGAAAGATGATATTTCAAAAACAATGATCCAAAGATTATCCGAAGAAAACTTTACTTATCAAGATTTAATTGATGCATATATAAAAAATAAAGAATTTGCTACAGAGCTTTTGCAAGGCAAAGTAAATGGAAAGGCAACAATAATAAAAAAAAAAGGAAATTCTAGACGCTATTCTCGAACATTTGGAAACATTTATCATGATTATCTTGGAGGATGCTGATGATGTGATATTGTAATTTACGTGATTCTCAACGTGATATTAGATTTGTAAATTATTTATTTAAAATATCAAAGTGTTAAACGTATTTGTTCAAATATACGAGATAAATTGTAAGTTTTATGAATAAAAATTCTATATTTCTTATGGACAATTTATATATTTTTTTTATTTTTATGAAATTATTCGGAATGGCTATGATATGTATAATTTATATTGATACATAATTCACGTAATAATTATTTATGGTATGCAGCGCAATGTAAAATCATCTGTAATTTCCGTGCGAACTGAGTATTCAAATGCATTTGAAAAATGCCGCCGATGGGTGCGCGTGCGCATGACCGCTTTCATAACCACTATATAATGCGGTGTTGCCATGTTTATTTATCATGCATTATTTTGCTATTATTTTATTTAATATCTTAATGAAAAGCCTTATAACATGGGTCAAAACATTGAGGGTTGTATCATAAAAAAATCTTTTTGTTTATAATCAAAAAACTGTCTGCATGTGTTATTTGTAACAGGTCCAATTAACCGTTTCAAGTGCGGTCCCATAAGGCCACGTGTTAAAATGCATTTTAATTTTTGTTTATTTCTCTGTATTTAGCATTATAACGTATGCCCAAAAAACGTGTGTGAGTTCAGAATACTTTAAACTATCATAATCCTAAGTTTCAGGCAGATCTATTATTATTTACATAAACAGGGAAACGTCCTTAAAACTCAATGAGTACGCAAAAGAAAGAGAGAGCGAAAATTTAGTTAAGTCTGATCAAAGTACACTATATGGACCGTTTATTTTGAAAGTGGTGTAAGTCCATTTTTGAGAAAAATGAGCTATCACGTAATTCATGCTTAATTTTATGTAATTTTTTTATATATAATTAGTCCGTGTTTAATTTCTCAAAAAAATTTCATGTTTTGTACAACTTAAGGACGTTCTCTTGCCTATAATGGTGCTCATCGTATAGCATCATAGGTGACCAGCTTATTCTCCCGGGCTCCGTATAAATGAAATAAGCGCCGCTTCGTGCGCAGAAGTACCAGGAGCGTCTTCTGCGACGATTTGCTCGACTTGGCAACAACGCCGTGTTCTCCCCATATGTTTAATCGTTGAGTGTATGTGAGTGTATATCCAAATCAAAATCGTGGTTGCGAGAGGTTATGTACATGTTGTTTTTTTTATCGTCGTCGTGATATATTCAACAAAATTTATTAAGCGAACAGAAATGCCGGGAGGATTCCGAAAGAAAAATGGTTTTTTTATATCCAAAAAAGGAATTGAACGCAAGAAAAAAACTGTAGCAGCCATGTCAGAAGCTAAAAAAAATCGAATGCAAGAAGCATTATCACCAAACAGTGAAACGAATATTTGTGAAGGGCTACGCATAGTAAATATAAAAGAACTCGATAAAAATCTAAAATGCAGACAATGTTCTAAACTCTTGGATTTGAGCAATGTAGTAAAAGAAGGATTGATTGGCTGTCATTCGTTAGTATCGATTCCTTGTGCCGACTGCAAGGTAATCTCTGAAGTAAACACCGCACATATTACCGAAAAGAAAGTTTCAGAAGTCAATGCAGGATTAGTTCTTGGTACGTATATTATAAAATCTAATTTATTTTATCGTCCAACGTGCAAATAAACAAAAAAAACATACTTTTTCAATTGGAAATTGTGAATAGTAAAAAAAAATTTCTCATGATTATAGGTGCAATGCATTCTGGTGCAGGTCAGACAGCACTAAATAAAATTCTGGCTTGTGCGAATATTCCTCCAATATCCAATGATATGTATAAGCATTATGAAAACTTAATTGGGAAAGCTATCGAAGAAGAAGCAAAAGATAGTTGCAAAAGAGCTGCAATGGAAGAACGAAATTAGTTATAACAAATATTCATAAGTTGATTAAAGAATTGTAAGAAGCTATAGTACACGATCAATTTGCATTTTAGAGATTTTCATTTTGTATCAAATTCATTGTACGTGCTTTCAAAATAGAGCAAGATATGCTTCTATCGATTAATGTTTTATCCAATATTTTCTTATATATTTTTAAATGTTTGAAATATTTGAATCGAATCAATTTTTGTAAATATTATTTATCTGATTGTACATAATGTTGATTTTTTTGTTAATAGTTCCAATATTGTCAGTATTTCAAATCAACTTACTGTCAACTTTTTTGTTTTATTTTTTATTTTTATTGATCTTTTTGAACACTCAATTATATACATGTTATGGTACATATTTTTTTATTAATGTAGACTATAAAAATAAATTTACCGTGCAATATTTTGATACAAACTGTGTATTTCTATAAATGAAATTTTTTATATTAAAAACCATGTCAGGCATTGATTGTAACTTTAATATAATAACATGAATCACTGTCAAAAATAATAAATAAAAAATATGGAAAACAAGATCACAAATGAATCCTTTTGTTGTTTTATTATTTTTTCAGACCTGAACATGTGGCTAGAGATATATATCCTCATCTACAAGTTCTTGAGTCGAACAATACGACAAATGGATCTACAAATCCAGTATTTGATTCGACATTAGGTGAAATTGTTAATATTATTGTCTCATACGACACAGGTTGGACTAAACGAGGTAACGGGCGTAGCTATGACAGCCTCAACGGCTACAGTGCAATTATTGGATTTTTGACTGGCAAAATTTTGGATTACACCACTAGAAATAGGAAATGTAAGATGTGCAAATTAGGGCACGACAAAAATGATCATGATTGTCGACTCAATTATATTGGGAGCGCGAAAGCCATGGAAGCGGATGCAGGAGTGCAATTGATCAATCATAGCAATATTTTGAAAGAAGCTAAATTGCAAGTGCGAGTAATAATTGGTGACGAGGATAGCTCTATGATTGCCGCTATTAGAAAAGATAATCCACATATTTCTTTTCACAAATTAGCTGATAGGAATCATATGGTCAAAAATTTCGGTAAAGAATTATATGACATACAAGAGACATTTAGTCAAATGAAGAGAAAAGGCGTAGTGCCCCATATAAAAAAATGCTTCGCCTATGCTGTTTCACAAAATAAAGGCAATAGCGATGGATTAGCTACGGATCTTCGCCGAATGCGAGATCATTTGTATGGACGTCATGAAAATTGTGGGTCTTGGTGTAAATATAAGGAGAAACATACTATAGAGCTTACGGATGAAGGTTTATATGTAAAACTAGTCGAATTCTATCATAAGTACGCGGCAAATGCTGGAAAATTCTCTGTAGCAGCTTCTAGTCAAGCAAATGAAAGTTTCAATAATGTGATTGCTCACAAGGCACATAAAAATCACTGCCTTAGTAGAAGCGGAGCTTGCGATTTTAGAGTCGGCGATGGTGTATGTGTGTGGAACGATTGTGAAAAATGTACAACTAAGTTTCGAATAAGAGTCGACTTGAATGAAGGTTTGTATACGTTGAAATATGCTAAATCCGTTGATGGTAAACGCTTGAAAAGAAAAAACAGAAGCTCATCTGCTGCATTCAAATTACGAAGAATAATCTTAAAACAACAAAGAGAGGCTTTGAGAAAAAGTCTAGAGCAAGCAGAAGGTGTCACATACCAAACTAATTGCGGGATCAATATGGAAATTGATATGCCAGAGAAAAGCAATGCTGATGCGAAGTCACTCTTAGTGTATTTTGATTTGGAAACAACTGGTTTGGACACCAATACCCAGATAGTGTAAATCGCTGCAAAATGTGGAAGATATGAATATAGTGTTTACGTTAATCCAACCAAAGAAATTTCAAAAAGTGCTACCAAAGTTACAGGTTTGAGTAATAGTGGTGGTATGTTATGTCTAAATGGGAAGGCTGTTGAAAGTGTTGATCTGCAAGAAGCTTTAATCGCATTCAAACAATTTTTAGAATCATTATCAAAGTCAAAGAAGTGTCTATTAGTGGCACATAATGCTACCTTTGATATTAGAGTATTTTTAAATAGTTTAGTTAGTTGCAACATGCTACGAGATTTTGAGGTGGTTGTAGGCTTTTCAGACTCTCTAAAAGCTTTCAAAAAATTGATCATCGAAAAGAAAAAAGGCCCAGGACAATTCACATTAAAAGGTCTAGCTACAAAATATTTAGAGCCCAAAGATTTAGAAAATTTTCATGATGCTACTGGTGATGTCAGAGTCTTGGAAAAATTAGTAAAATATTTCACGTGTCAAGAATTACTTAACAGTTTACAGAAATCTTACTATGATTGCTGCAATAAAGTACATGAAAATAATAAGATAAACTTCAAATTGCAATACTTGAGAGAATTGAAAGGTGTTTTATCTCTTACGTACTTGAAAAAATTAGCTAAATATAACATTACATACCAACAACTATTAGAATTATATAAAAAGGAAGGAGCAGATGGTATTCATAAATTATTTACTGAAAAAAGTGAAGGTAAAGTTAAGATTACCAAAGATATAAAAGTTTTAAATACATTAGTTCACTTTTTTCAGACTGACCTGTGAATAGTTGTAATAAACTGTTATTTAATAATTAATAGATTATATAATTAATATGTGATGCTTTAAATATTTATAATGGTGCTCATTTGTTTAATAATGACATAATATATAAAATATATTATGAATAAACTATGTTGTACGTGATCACTCTTTATTTATAGTTATAATTATTCCCTAATTAATCTAAGTTATTTTCAATATACACGAATGAATTACAGTAGATAATCTTTACGAATGTTATAAGAATGGAAATTACTTTTAACTTTTTGAAATGTTATCGTTGCAAATAGAGTCGTGTGGACTCGCGGAACAACCGTAATACGCCGCACCGGCATGTACTATATATCTATATATCTGATGCGGTGTTGCCAAGTCACCATGTTTTTACTTGCAAACCGATCGGGAGACGCACCTGGTTACAAACTTTGAGAACGTCTTGCATCGAAAATAGTACCGGTACCTATGTTTTTTATTATTGCATATGGTTCGTTATAACCTCTAGAATAATATACTAGTTTTTCAAAAAAATCTAAAGAAAATTGCGTTATTAATCTCAGAAAATGTACCGTCATATAGAGTCAAGCCTATCTAACACGTGTTAAAGTATTGAACTTTGAACTTGAATATCTCCAAATTTAATACCGGTACCTATGTTTTTCTTTTTACTATTATGTAGATAATGATAAAAAGTACTGATATGTGAAGTTTGACGAAAATCTAAAGAAAATTGATTTTCAAGAGAACGTCCTTAAACTATTAGGAAAAATTATATGACGAAATCGGCGAATAAGTTTAATAGATTTTATTAATAAAAATCTCTACAGTCTTTGTCGGGCCGAAAGACTGACGCACGCGAATAGGATTTACAATTAAATAACTTTCGGTGAGAAAGAGAGAGAGAGAAGATACGAATATTGGCGCGATTTAACGCTCGACGCGAATACAAAAAATTAACGCTAACACCGTTGGACAAAATATCAAATGTATTTTGTCACGCGATAATTAAGGGAGGTGCACCTACCCTGCGGTGCAATTACGGTGATCAGCCGTAATTGTTGAAGCAAATTAAAGGTGCTCCTCCGATCAGAATCAGCTGTGCTGCCTCGATTGCAAATCTGCTGTATAATTGCTGTTGCTTTTGCTGCTGCTTCCGTGATGCTGCTACTGTTGCTGCTTCCTCGCTCACCCTTGCACACGTATCCAAAATCCAAGTAAACTTTTTTATTGGCAAATCGTTGGAACACTGTGCTAAACTATTTTGGCGGTACTACACAAGTAACAGCTGAGACGTAACTGCTAATTCAAAAGATCGCGCGCCCCCTCTCTCTCTCAATACTTAGAACTAACGCGCGAAAATCAGAATCGCGAACGGTTCGATTAATTGAATCGACTACCGTTGCAATACATATGATTTGACAAATAATCAAACAAATTCAAATTGTATATTCTAATTAACAAATTTATTTCATAAATAATAATACAAGTTAAGCGCCAGGTGCTGGTTTAGATGCTAATATATGCTCTACTGTATCAGCTAAATGATTCAAATCAGAGCTTATATTTCTTAAACTCATATCAAATAATCTCATATTCTTCTTATAATTGTTACCTAAATTAACAAATGAATTCGCAAGTTCCATATACAATGTACGCAGTTCACTTAATTCTTTTTCCAGTGACACATTTTTATATAATATTGCTCGCATTTGTCTATTTCTTTTTGGCATAATAAAAGAAAAATCTATAATATAATTATAAACTAATACTAAATAAATAACAAACACTTAACACTAACTAACGTAATAAGAGTCCTGTCACGGTCGCCAAATGTGATGTTCGTATCACTTACAAATAATAATTCGAACTCTCGTATCTAGCTAATGAGTAAGAATTTGTTTCTAATAATTTTACTCTACTTGTCAATAAAATAAACAGATAAATAAAATGTACTCTAATAATACTAAACAAATCAAATATATATAAATACGTACAATATTTCAGGGAAAGTCAGACGATGCCCTAGTTTCTTATGGTGCGAATTGTCCCATAAGCAGAGCTAAAGTCTTTATTGGATAGGATATAATTCGGCCCAAGTTTCTTGTAGCGCGAAATGTTCTATAAGTCGAGCTTGAATTATAAGGAAGGAATAGTCTTGCTTAGTTAATCACAATGAGAGAAAGAACTTATGCATTAACCAAGTTTATTCAGACTCATGCGCTCACCTTGCAAGACTAGAAGTGAATGCTAGCCTTTGCAAAGGTGGGCCTATTTATACACAAATTTTCCCGCTTATTTTTGCAGGAGAGATGTCATAGAATATTCGAGAGATATTCGCGAATTTACAGAAATGAGTTTTCTTAATTTACAAGTAAAGAATCCTTAATATTAAGCTTTGAACACATGTAAACTTTACAGAATTTATTATTTATAGATTTTCTACAATATACAATTATCGCAAATAGTGTCGTCAAAAGTTATTAACTAATAAAGTTAATTAACGTGATATTATAATATTTATAATAGAAAATTAATAAATTTTTATATAACTTTATAGTTGATTTAATTTAGAGGTATTTTCCAAAAATGAATATTTAAATTACATAATAACATTTGAATTATAACTAATTTTTCATATTTGTAACGGTTTTTCTTAATCTTATAATATAATTATTCGATTATTTATCTAAAATTCTTAAATTATAAAGCTATCATTTTCAAGTATAAAATTAATACTTTCGTTTTATATACAGCTTATTGTTTAAATAAATTATTAATTGTTTATTTACTAATAACAGGTATTATTCAGCTGTTATTAATGAAACCAATTCTTACTCATATTTTATACTTATTCATTTTGCATATACTTATTATTAATATTTCATATTGTTAACGTAATAAATAAATCAACTTTGCATATTGATATTCATTATTATTTCAAAATTGAATGTAATTTTTGTTATTATATTATGAATCTACGTGCTAAAATCTATATAATCAATACTTTGTTATATTAAAATTATCTCTAATTAACATATTTTTCTTAATATCTAATATCATTATATCTATATATATTACTTTGTGACGTCACGCTGTTTATTTTGATTCGACTCTTATTTGTATACAATCGCGTAAACAGTGTGGTAGCACCGCTTGATGTTTTGATTTGAATAAACAGATAGATACGTTAGACTAGTTGCAGTAATTCAGTGATTTAATAAATAGCTCATAAATAAATAGGACCGTTACATGGTGGAAACATTTTAGTATGTAAGAAGTTTTTTAGTAATACTTTCCAAATATCTACTGGACGAATTGATCGTATCCTAAAATCGCATGAGAACATTCCGAATGACATGCGTGGAAAAATGGATGGCTCTTGCAGAAGAACTAGTGAGCTACTGACTAATACAGTGATAGACCACATAAAAAGCTTTCCGGCATTTGAAAGTCATTACACACGATCGCAAAATCCAGAACGAATGTTTTTAAATCCGGAATTAAAAATAAGAAAAATGTATAGTTTATATTTGGAAAAATGCAAGGAAAACAACTTGTGCTCAGTTAATGAATGGACATACAGGAAAATCTTTAAACGAGATTTTAAGTTACGCTTCCATTTGCCACGTAAAGATACCTGTGCAAAATACGATATCCTAAACATGAAAATTAAAACTACAACTGATGACGACGAAAAAATGATTCTTGTAGAAAGACATGACGTTCACTGCAAAATGCTAAATTATCAAGAAAAGCATTACAAGAGGATAAAATTCTAGCATCAGAAAATCCAGATAAATACTTTGCTTTCATTTATGATTTACAAAAAGCCTTACCATACCCGAAATTGTCTGTCTCAATCGCATATTACAAACGAAATATGTACGTCTTAAACGAGGGTTTACACAATTTACATAATAATAAAGTTAATCTGTACGTGTGGGACGAAACCATTGCGTCTAGGGGATCGCAAGAGGTGGCTTCATGCTGTTTGAAGCACTTAGAAAATGTAACGACCCAAAGCCATGTTATTGCCTACAATGACATGTGTACTGGGCAAAATCGAAATTTACAAATGGCATTGATGTGGTTGAAAGTTGTCCAGTTGGAAAACAGCATTGAGATAATTGACCACAAATTTTTACTCTCGGGGCATTCATACCTTCCGAACGATGCAGATGTTGGCATCAGAGAAATGGCATTGAGAAAAATGAATTTTGTGTACACACCACAAGATTACTATAATGTAATAGCGCAATGTAGAAAACAGGATAAATTTATTTTATATTAAATGAAACGGGAGAATTTCATTTCAACAAAAAATCTCCAAAATGCAATTAAAAAACAGATAAAAAAAATACTAATGGGGAACAGGTCAATTGGTTGCAAATATGTTGGTTGAGGTTCCTCAAAATTGCACCATATACCATTTTTTATAAAACAACGATGACGAACGCAGAATTTAAAATTATCAATTTATTACCTCTACGTCCTGGAAGACCGTTAAAATTTGAAAAAATCGCCCTAGAGCCTTTGTATCAAAATGCCAGACCTATTACGTATGAAAAATATAAAGACATGAAGCAGCTACTACCCTATATACTTCCGGTGTATCATGCATATTTTGAAATACTACCACATGCAGAAAATAAGTAAATTCTTGTAATCAGTATTTTGTAATGACAATGGAATTGCCGTCTAAAATAAAATTTTATGTGTTGTTATGCGTATTTGTAAACAAAATTATATTAAAATGAAGTATATTTTAAGCGATATTTGATTTTTCAAAATTGAAATTAAAAGATTTTTATAATTGTCTAATTTTGAAAATGGTGTAAGTCCATTTAGAGCACATAAATATGTGTTATCGTAGTCTAATTAGCCAAAAACAAACTTATATAAACAACTTAAATATTGATTAAATAATAGAAACAATGCCAAACCTCATATGATTTGCCTGTATTTTTAAATTAACAAATATAGTAATCTTTAATTTTCTCGAAACA